CAAAGACCTGATATTAGTCCCAGAGTTAACATTGTCCAAATATGATCAAGTTGAAGGTTTTAAGAAAGTTGCGGAGGGTATGCCCACTTTAGTTAATGTGAAAAACAAGGCCGCTATCTTGTTACAAAGAACCCCTATGCTGGTAACTACCAATAGCTACCCATGGAAGTTCTTCAATGATGAAGAAGCCTCTATTAAAAACAGAATGTTCTTTTATGAAGTACGAAAGTACAACTGGAACAGCCCAAAAGCCCCTACACCTAAGTTCTTTGCCTCTCTCTTTAAGTCAATCACAAAGTTTGTTGATGGGGATGAGTTCTTCCCTTATGATGTGCATGATGATGACCATTATGCAGCCCTCTATGAAGCCGTAATGGGTCAGATTAAGTCCATGGCCATTCCAAAAGTCCAACCAGGAACCTCCCTTGTACATGAGGCCAGCTGTGACCTTGAGGATAATCAGATTTACATTCCTTGGGCTGCTCCTCAGATACCAGATAAGTTTTGGGAAAGGGTACATAGAGGGGATGAATACTCCATGAGGTTAGTAAAAAGCATATTGATGTGCTTCAGTGATGATGAAGTCAATTTGTATTGTAAGTGGAATACTCAAGACAAACTTGATTATGTCGATATTGAGAAAGTAAAAGACATCTCAAATGTGTCAATGATTTGGTCTTTCCTTGAAAGGTGCCTCAATGAATTACAAGAATTTAAAGGCCCAGTCTGTGATGGAATGTCCACATTTCAAAAGAGTATGAGAAAATATTATAAAATGATAGAACTGTTAAGCCACAGGGCTGTGTTCTTGTTAAGTAATGTCCCAGTCCCTGATGAGTTACCCCCTCCTAGAAAACGGGTTAAGTTTGATGATGGACCACCTACCCCTGGGGCTAGAAAAATTATTGGTACAGCTGATATGATTAAGGCCAAAAGGTCAATGAGTGTTGAAGAATTAAAGAACACAACAGAAATGTTGTTTGCCGGGGTCCCTGCTTCTGAAATAAAAAAGTATATTGAAACATGTAAGACTAAGAAAAATATCCCAACAGCCACAGTTACAGCCACAACAACTGAGAAAGACTCAGGTGTTGGTTCTCCTTCATCAACAATAGAAGTTGTTGAAGATGGAACGTGCTATGGTTGTAAACATGATAAACCAGGTCAAAGGGATCATATGGGACCGGGGGGTTGCCTAGAAGTTGAACCTTCAAATGTACCTGTAGAAACTTGTGAGGGTTGCCGATTAGGCATACCAGGTCAAAGAGCCCATATGGGCGTCGGTGGATGTAATCATCCTTTCTGATTGAATGTTTTACTTTATAATTCATTCCATGAAAAGCGGCGTATGGTCCCCAAGTAATAAAAAGCGTGTGCCCTAAACGAGAAAACAATGGGCGGAACTAAATAAAATGGAATTTAGAAATGGGATCAGAGGTTATGAAGCCTGCGTATCACAGATAAGACGTCAAAAGACAAATTTAAAAAGCAGGCAACATATCCTAAGGGTGATTCAACATTATTCAAGTAGGAATATTGGAACCACCCAACTAGAAAATGCCGAAGAGTTGAAACTAAAAATACCACAAGCACAACAATAATGTCGTGCTGAACGATCTTCAAGGATCGAAAATATAACATCATTGATTAAATGTACGGGGAGACTTTTTACAGCCGCCACACGGCACAAATAACACGGATGTGATCATAAAATAGATAAATATAGAATCCCTAAAGAAAGCCCAACACAGCAAAATTGAAAATGTTGCAGGCTCGGTTTGATTGAGCCTGTTCATGGACGGTACTGGAAAGTGCAAGTTACCGTCCACGCCCCCTAGCACCGGCTTAAGCAGAATTCAACATTTAAACGTGAAATAGTAAAATTTTGAATTTAGAAACATCCGCAGATGTGTTCATACGGCGGTTATCATGGAACCTTCAATGTGACACTTACGTGCCATTCCATGAAAAGCGGCGTATGGTCCCCAAGTAATAAAAAGCGTGTGCCCTAAACGAGAAAACAATGGGCGGAACTAAATAAAATGGAATTTAGAAAGGGGATCAGAGGTTATGAAGCCTGCGTATCACAGATAAGACGTCAAAAGACAAATTTAAAAAGCAGGCAACATATCCTAAGGGTGATTCAACATTATTCAAGTAGGAATATTGGAACCACCCAACTAGAAAATGCCGAAAAGTTGAAACTAAAAAATACCACAAGCACAACAATAATGTCGTGCTGAAACGATCTTCAAGGATCAAAAATATAAACATCATTGATTAAATGTACGGGGAGACTTTTTACAGCCGCCACACGGCACAAATAACACGGATGTGATCATAAAATAGATAAATATAGAATCCCTAAAGAAAGCCCAACACAGCAAAATTGAAAATGTTGCAGGCTCGGTTTGATTGAGCCTGTTCATGGACGGTACTGGAAAGTGCAAGTTACCGTCCACGCCCCCTAGCACCGGCTAACAATATCTCATTCCTAACTCCAGTTATTGTCCAGAAACCATTTTTTCTATTTTAAGTAACAGTGACCTTGACCCCAGGGGGTCAAAATGCAATACCAACCAAAATTTCCACATAAGGTTGCTATATACCAAGTTTGATTACAATACCTCATTCCAAACTCTAGTTATCGTCTGGAAACCATGATGTGGACGGACCAACCAACAAGCTGACTCCTATATACACCCCCAAACTTCGTTTGTGGGGGTATAATAACTATTTTTAATGAGATGTTAAAAATGTTAACGAAACTATAGAATGCTTGGTTGTCAAGCCAACGGAAAAATATGTTTACATATTTTATTTCATGTAGCTTTAACAGAAAACAATTGTATATTATTTTCAAGCATCTTTTTTCAATTTTTAAAAAATACCTAAACAACCTTTTTTCAACATAAATGCACCATTGAAATTTAAAAAACCCTTCATTACAATTGCTGTTGTAGTATGATTAAATTTATTCCTTTAATACATTTTATGTCTTCAACTTACTTGATGTGTGGATGTCTCCATCTGCACATACAATTATGGTTTTGTCAGACACAGTCAACACTTCAATACCACCCATCCTCTTCAGTAAAAACCTTATGTCATCTGTTTAAAATGTGCATTAGCTAAATTAAAGCAACGTTTTCAATAAGAACTCCATTTTATATTCTTCTTTAACCCTTTACGCGATATATACACCTTTTTCAACCCCCTCCCCCCTTTTTGGTGTCTCAAATGGTGAAAAATGCCTTATTTAGGCCTCCAACACTTGTTTTTGTTTGAGAAATGTTGTTTAAAAAAGTGACCACTTTTTCGGGGCAGTCCCCCAACCAAAAGATACATCAGGGGGTGCCAGAAGGGGGATGTGCCCCCTTGTTTAGGAGGTTTGAAGGGGGCGGAGTCCCCCTCTTTGCCAAGGAAATTTTTGACTTGTGAGAGGCTAAAATGACCCCAGATCGATCATAAGGTAAAATGTAATTAACACTGAAAAGCATTTGACTCTATCTCAATCCATTGAGAAGTTGCAACACTTTGAAATCAATTTCGATGGGAAAAAAATCAACGCAAAATAGTGATTTTTGGCAATTTTGAGATGTTCCCTCGATGCCATGGTAACAGAAAATTTAAGCCTGAGCATGTTGTTGCAAAGGTAATGGTCAAGTCAACACTTGTGCCAAGTTTGATTAGTACGTATTGAAGCAGTTTTTATAGTTTTATAGCAATTTTAACTTGTAACGGGAGACTTTTCAATGAAAACAGCCATTTTTCACAAAATGCTCATGAAGTTAAATGGGTTAATATCAAATATCTATAATAATGGTAGATATTTTAAAATTCATATCATTTTGAGTCTTTGCTGTACAGAGCATCTTAGTATGTAATCATTGAGATTCAGACAACAAAACAAATCCCAAAGTTGAGGTAACAAAAGCTGTTGGTAGGACAGCAACGCTTGACTATTCTTAGTGCTTGATAATAAAAGAGCCTTGATAATGTAAAATTTCCTGATTAATAACAAAAGGACAATTTTTTTTGAAATCTATGTTACAGTTAAAGGCCTTGGAGAGTCAGTCCTTTTATGCTCTCAAAGAAGAGTATAAAATTTCAACTTGTTTAAATAGAATATGAAGATATTTGCAGTGGTATGCAAACCTAAATGTAAATTCTAAGTTGAAAAAGGGGCATAATTCTGTCGAAATGCTTGATACAGTTACCTCCTCCTGTCAACACATTGAGGTTATAATGGTAAATAAGTGTGCAAAGTTTCAAAGCCATATGTCAATGGACTTAAATATTTGAGGTATTACAAAAGCTTTAACATAAATTTAAAGTAAAAAAGGGTCATAATTCTGTCAAAGTGCTTGATACAGTTACCTCCTCCTGTCAACACTTTGGGGTTATAATGGTAAACAGTTGTGCAAAGTTTCAAAGCCATATGTCAATGGACTTTGAAAATATTTGAGGTATTACAAAAACTTTAACGTAAATGCTAAGTCGATAAGGGGCATAATTCTGTCAAAATGCTTGATACAGTTACCTCCTCCTGTCTACAGGATGGGGTCATGATGGTGAACTAGTGTGTAAAGTTTCAAAGCCATATGTCAATGGATTTTGAAAATATTTGAGGTATTACAAAAACTTTAACACAAGTGGTTACGCCGATGCCCGGGTGACTACAATGGACCGTTCCGGTGTCTACAGTTTAATGTAAATTGGCTAACTTGTTATCCAATCGCTACTCTGAGATAATACATAGTCACTGGTTGACCTGATTTGCACAAAAGAACACGTGCTTATGTTTGTGATACTGTTTGTGAGCAGTTGACCTAGCAATGAATGGAAAAGGTGTGGCTAAATGTTCCGCTACGAAAAAACGGAAAGGTCCATAGCTCTGCTTATTCTTATCTGACAGAAAAGCTAAAAATGATAGCTCCCCTAATTCTTAGATTGTTGGGCTTTAAACAATAATCTAAATAATTTAACTGAACTGTACCTTATTTGATTTCTAGCCAGTCTGTGCCTTTGATCTGAAACTCAAACCTTCCATAATCTTCTTCCATAGATAACTCTCCATAACCGTCAGCACTTATCACTCTGTATCTTTCCTACAATTACAAAATTATTTTTACTTCATTATTTCATGCTGTTGCACTACGACAGGTTATATCAAAGTTTTCTCACTATGTCATTAAAGTGGCATTATGCTCATTTTTTTCAGAGTCAAATAGTTTAGGGTAAAAAATAAATCTACCTAAATATATAAAAAGACTGCCCACTCTTTATAAATTGGAAGTTACAGAAACATTCCGACGAATAATTACACACATTTCACAGGTCCTAGTGAGTTATTTATCGTTCATGTGAAGTAAATTATGAAATTAAAAAATGTTAACTTATCTTGACTTTCACCTGTTCACTCTACATCTACCCATGGATGCACATAATGTCACTTTAACTAAACTTGTATTACAAATGGGTTAACAAAGCTACCAAGATTTGCTCAAATAATGAACAAGTCTTAACATTTTCTTTATCTTTAATACATGAACTCTCTTAAAATGATGTAGATGACACAATATGTCCTTTAAAACTTGCTGCTATATTTCTATTCAGTCTGAAAAATGACAACTACAGTAACTTGTATCAAGTGTTCTTACATATCAGGACAGTGTGCTTACCTCCAAGTGAGGTCATTGTATATCACAAATGAGGACAGTAATCATATCCTACCAGTACTTACTTGTGACCTAGACATAATGCTTTTCACAAGTATAAAGGGTAGTGGTAATGAAGGTTCATGCATCTGTACAATGTAGCTTGGGAGGCTTTCAAGGCTTTTTCTCCTACAGCAGCTTCCCAAATGAAAATCTTTTTGCAATTTAGCAGTTTTCCCCAAATAAATTAAAATTATATACATGTAGAGTATTTTCTTCCCTTTTGACAAAAATAACATACTATTTTCCCCAAATAAATAAAGGGAAAGGCTGTACTTTAACTTGTGAAAATTAGAACTTTCTGTTTGTGCAAGACTTTCAATTCAAGTTTTGTAACACAGACAGATGTTCATGCTATCAATATTTGTGAAATGTATCTACAGTCATTCAACTCTAGTTAAAATTGCCTTTATTGGGTATTTTATTGCCAACTATCTGTCCAAATGTCTGACAACATTATATCCAACATTGTTCTTGGTACCTTGACCTATTACCTACAAAAGGGTAGAACTCATCATGATGCACTAACAATCCCTGGGTAAACACACTGTTTTTTCTTGACAAAGCAGGACCAAAAAACATATATTTATTCAGGGGCATAAAAACCTGATGGTAATAGACTTACATGTAATCTAAAACTTATGGGCAAAAGACGAGTAAATGTTTGTATAGCAAAAATTCAGATTGACTTAGCAAATTTAAAGTCTATTTGTAATAAAAGCAGCTAAATGTTGTCTTCAGATAAAAAATAATATTATCAAATGTAGCAACAGTTACTAAATTCATGTCATAAAAAATTAAAAATAGTAGGTGAATAATTTCTATACTGCCTTCTATCCAAAACTTATGTTTCACAAAAACATGTCAAGTATTTTTTTGTAATGGCAAATCTTGATATATTTGCAATATATGCAACGAAAAGAAATATTTGTTTCTTTTACATTTCGTTGCCATTGATTTTTATCCTGTTACTTCCATTACAATCTTACCATATTTTGAATGTTCCCTATCCTAATGGAATCCTTTACCCAATCGTTACTGACTTTTTTGGTTCTCCTTCCCAATAAACATTTAAACAGTTTCAATGTAGTGAAACGCGTAGATCCACTTGAGTCTGTAAAATTAAACATTGGAAGATCATAAAAATTTTAAATTCTACATCATTTTATGTTGAGTGAAAATACCTTAACATATACTTGAAGATAGTTTTCTCACTTTCAAATAATCGAAATTGTAATAAGCTTCTGAAGTACAAGCATAAGTATCTGAAGTACAGGCATAAGCTTCTGCATTACAGGCATTAGTATCTGAAGTACAGGCATTGGCATCTGAAGTACAGGCATTGGCATTTGAAGTACATGCATTGGCATTTGAAGTACAGGCACTAGCATTTAAAGTACAGACATTATCATCTGAAGTACAGTAATTAGCTTCTGTAGTACAGGCATAAGCATCTAAAGAACAGGCATCAACATCTGAAGTACAGGAATTAGCTTCTGAAGTACATGCATTGGCATCTGAAGTACAGGCACTAGCAATTAAAGTACAGACATTATCATCTGAAGTACACGAATTAGCTTCTGAAGTACATGCATTGGCATCTGAAGTACAGGTACTAGCATTTAAAGAATAGACAGTATCATCTGAAGTACAGTAATTAGCTTCTGTAGTACAGGCATAAGCATCTAAAGAACAGGCATCAACATCTGAAGTACACGAATTAGCTTCTGTAGTACATGCATAAGTATCTGAAGTACAGGCATAAGCATCGAAAGAACAGGCATCAACATCTGAAGTACACGAATTAGCTTCTGAAGTACATGCATTGGCATCTGAAGTACAGGCACTAGCATTTAAAGTACAGACATTATCATCTGAAGTACAGTAATTAGCTTCTGTAGTACAGGCATAAGCATCTAAAGAACAGGCATCAACATCTGAAGTACACGAATTAGCTTCTGTAGTACATGCATTGGCATCTGAAGTACATGCACTAGCAATTAAAGAATAGACATTATCATCTGAAGTACAGTAATTAGCTTCTGTAGTACATGCATAAGTATCTGAAGTACAGGCATAAGCATCTAAAGTACAGGCATCAACATCTGAAGTACACGAATTAGCTTCTATGCATTGGCATCTGAAGTACAGGCACTAGCAATTAGGTCACTAGGCATTAGTATCTGAAGTACAGGCATTGGCATCTGAAGTACAGGCACTAGCATTTGAAGTTCAGACAATATCATCTGAAGTACAGTAATTAGCTTCTGTAGTACAGGCATAAGCATCTGAAGTACAGGCATAAGCTTCTGCATTACAGGCATTAGTATTTGAAGTACAGGCATTGGCATCTGAAGTACAGGCATTGGCATTTGAAGTACAGGCATGAGCAGCTGAAGTACAGGCATAAGCATCTAAAGAACAGGCATCAACAACTGAAGTACAGGAATTAGCTTCTGC